GTCGAGATACTGGGTAAATCAATCTCCCTGGTAGTCGTCCTGGTTGTAGGGTGGTGAGCCGGCATCTGGAAAGGAAGGTGGTAGAAACCGAGGTAGAGGAGGAGGCTACGGTGGTCCCAGTGAAGGACGAGAACTGCGGTGGTGGTGGAAACTAATGATGTCTGAAGCTGTGGTGGACAACTGCAATCAAATTAGGGTCACTTTGTGGGGACAGTGTTGCCTGAGACACTCAGGTGGTCCCTGGGGTGGGGACTGTGGACCTGGTGACTGGAGTGCTGGGTGTGGCAGCAGCAGGTTTTTAGGAAGAGGGGAAAGGGCTACGGTTCTCAGCAGGAGAGGGAGAGCGGGAAGTTATCGGGAAAGCTGCAGGTCACACATTAGAGGGACCGTAAAAGTCTGCCACAGTCAGAAATGCCGCTGCAGCTTAAGCAGAAAGCCCTTTTCGTTCAGGACTGTCGTAATGAGGTGCGGCTACTGGTTAGCGCAGCGTTCTGTCAATTCAATTGCGTTCCCGAGGTCTTTCATCTGTGTTGTTTTGTCTGTTTCTTTCTCTTTTCATTACACCAGGTGTGTTGCCCTGTATTATGGTAGCGGTGCCAGGAATCAAAAATTAAGGAACTTTTAACTTTTCAATGTTTGTATAGCTCAGTTTTTATACATTTTAATGTAGAGACTTTAGCAAAATGAAGTTTTGAAGGTCTTCTCTTGTGAGTTAGCAAGGAAAGACCATTTTGTATTAATTTTCCTAAAGTTAACTATAGAGAAATGCCTACTGACTTGAAGTTTAAGAGGACTCTATTGTCCTGTTTCCAAAGCCAGGATGAATGGGTGTGATATATGGAAAGAACAGGTATTTGTACATCTGCAATGTGCGTCATAGATAATTAGGGTTGGGTAATTAAATTAACGTGTTTGTGAATTTAATAGTATTAAGATTACCCTAAAATGAAAACATTATATCAAAAGTTCCTGTTTGATTTCTGTGTGTTTCTTTCAAAATATAATCGTGTTAAGAACATCCCTGTCCCACATTTGCGTGGCCACGATGAAACTGCTGACGAGAGTTTGGAGGGAACACGTGTCTGGGCTCTCCGCTTGGATTCTGCAAAGGGCAACAGATGTTTCCCACCGCCCACCTTAGCACCCTTAACTGGTGATATGGACCACCGAGTACTCTGAACAAACTCGGGGGCCTGGGTTTATTCTGTTTTCAAGTTCTATAGCTCAGAGGTCGTATACCAGGTCCATACACCCTCAGTCACTTCCTTGGCTTAGGTTTGGTTTTGGTTTTGGTTTGGGGTTTTTTTTTTGGGGGGGTTGAGGTTTTTCTTTTGAGATTTTTCCCCCCATACACGTTTTCAGAGCAATAGAATAAAAGTTACTTGTTGGACACTTAACTTGGCAGCACACTTTCCCTGTTTGTCCCCTATACATTTTGCTGGATGAAACCAGGGATAATTCAAGTGTCACTGTCCAAAATAAGTATAGCACAGTCACTCAGTGCGAGCCTCTCACTTCCCCATATCCCTTTGGATAGTCTCAGACTCCTCTATGTACTCCAACCCAAAACATGATGCCGAGATTCAGTCAGTTTGGAAGACCCTGTTTGAAAGAATTCTAGACTGGAAGGTCATATATCTGCAAAGCCATGTCTGTTTTGCTCCAGTTAGCACTTAACAATTTCATTCAAGTCCTAAGTGGATGGCCTGCTATTACTCTTTCTTTGGCAGTTGAACAATGAGTTCAAATTTTTACTTGTTTTTTTTTTTTTTTTTTTTTTTTAAGTGCTAAGCAAAACAAGCAATAAAAAAGACAGGGAAAAAAAATAAATCACCATTAAAATATTTTCCAAAAAGGAATATGAATGCATTTTATGCAATTTCTAGAAGGAAAACATCAATCCTTTGAAAATGTGTCAACATTCTGTGCACGGACTGTGTAGTTCCGTGGTAGTGTGTGCCTGGCATACAAGGGCTGGGCTGCAGTTTTGTGGTGGAGTGTGACTGACTTATACAAGGACTGGGCTGCAGTTCTGTGGTGGAGTGCCTGGCATATACAAGGCCCTGGGTTCTCTTTCCAGCACCAAAACAACACACATTTGCATGTAAACAGATACTTTTATGGTTGGTACTGATGTCTCTGTCACATGGGATCTAAGTGTGAACCAAACTCCAGCACTCTTACGACTGGAGATTTTCTTACCACAACTCTCTCGGTGATTGAAGACCTGGGCCCTCAGCGATTGTAGCTGGAAGACCTGGGCCACCAGTCGGGGGGTTGGCTTTGAGATGGACCACTAACCTGAGAATCTGATGAGCCATTCAAATGTTACTCGTCATATTTGAAACTACTTGTCACCCATTTCCAGTCACAGTGGCGTAATTCAGGATTTTCTTCCACTCTGTCCTCCATCTAAACCCAACTCTTTCCTTCTCTCCCTAGGATGGGCTGTCCTTTTTTTTCTTTTTAAAGATTTATTTATTTAGTATAGTGTTCTGTCTGCATATACCCTGCATGGCCAGAAGAGGGCACCAGATCTCATTACAGATGGTTTGTGAGCCACCATGTGGTTGCTGGGAATCGAACTCAGGACCTCTGGAAGAGCAGCCAGTGATCTTAACTGCTGAGCCATCTCTCCAGCCCTGGACGTGTCCTTTTGAAGCCTTTTGCTAATTCCTTTCCGCTGACGATCTCACCAGGAATTTGTCTTTCGCTGAGTACTCCTTCTGTGCACATTCCTGGGTAGTCAGTGTTCATCAGTTCTCACTGAAAGTTCTGGGCTGATGGCATGCATTTGTGTGCGCGCGGGCGTGCACACACACACACACACAACACTAACATAATAAAAATATGCCCGTCATATTTCCAGGAAACCCTTCCTCTTTCAGATGTGTTTACTGGGTTCTAAAAAAGATAGCATTGCTTGTGTCAGTTGAGTGTCCAGACCTTGGAAACAACACCTGTGGGGAGGAGAGAGCGTGTGCTGCAGAGGGCAGACGCCCCCTTGTGTGTCCCTATCCATTCAGTGCTCTTCCAGGATGGACAGAGCAGGGAGGAGGCAGGAAATGGTGCCAGTGTGGGACAGGGAGTCCAAGAATAAATGTGAGACTATCTGGTCAGTTTGTGCTTTGTTTTGCCTGGCAGGGGCGGGGTTCCTACCATTAAATACTAGACTTTATTGTAGTTCGTACACAGTGTCTCATCTGATGCTCAAGAAGTAAATGTAATTACTGTTTTCACACCTAAGACTAAGACTTGGCCAGGTTAAAGTAACTTTCAAATTACAACTCTAACTGTATGATTTTCAAACTAGATAATCTTACCCTGTCCACTCTGCTGAATCGGTGTGTTGTATTATAAAAGTGTATTAACCATGTGGAGATGCAGATCAGCCGAGGGCTTCATTGGTAAAGATAGATTATTGTTGGTAGATGTACCACTTGTAGGAGTTAACTCCAAAAGAGCTTATATG